GCTTTGAGGCCAAAGTTTGAACTCATTTGTGGAGGTCTATTTATCTTGACAGAACCACCATTTATGAAATAATCTAAAAATGCACCCAACATCCCTAATCTTGTCTCTTGTTCTACAAATTGAAAAATTTATTTTGTCATCTTGTCTATCTTTATTAGGCTGCGAGGAAAATAAAATCATGAAAACAGTTAATTAGCAGAAAAAGAGGATTGAAAAGTTTCCATCAACACAACGTATCTATGATTTAGTTTACTTTGAATCTAAAAGACTCTGAAGAGACCTAATTTATATTTCCAAAATGGAAAACCTTTTTTTTAAAGGTTCTTTTTCTGAAGTCCAAGTCAACCTCTTTTGTCCCAAGTAGTGTCTAACATCTCTAAGAACTGAAATAAACATTTTGTTATTTGATAAATCAACTATGCCTATAATCTTTAATTATTTAAACCTAATTTAAACCATGAATATCTTGATTTTTTTAAAAGAATGGGCTTTATTACATTAATGGACATTTATAAAACTGCTGTAAACCGTTTCAAGAATTATTATTCACTCAGAAAAGTAAACATGCATTTATGATTAAAAATGTTGCCTTGTAGCAGGAAGGTCTTTGGTCTTAGATCCCAGCTTGGGGTCTTTCTACAAAGTGTTTACATGTTCTTAAGACATTTCATCCCAGCACTGCGTGTCCAGAGCCCGTAACACTATCAATGACCATGGATTATTCTCCCTGCTGCCCTCTGGGAAGAGGCTTTGCAGCATTTGATGCAGGTCCAACAGATTCTGCAGCAGCTTCTTCCCCACTGCCCTCAGAAAGCTGAACTGTTGTGAAAATTCTAAATCATGTCACCGACTCTGCATTGCACTGATAACGCCTATCAAAAACTGCATATTTGCACCATACAGGGAATGCTTCGGTGGCGCAGTGGTTAGCCCATGTACAGTGGCCTACCCGCGTTTGAATCAGACCTGTGGTCCTTTGTGGCATGTCTCTCCCCTTCTTTCATACCCCATTCCTGTCAACTTACTGTTGAAAAAAACGAGCCACTAGTGTCGCAAAAAATACAAATATTTGCACCATACGTATTTAATGCTCTGAACTTCCATTCCATATCAATGCGATATTTTGCAGCATGTTTTTTTTCCACACACTGTTTACATTTGTTCACTGCTGCACTTTAAGGCATGGAAATGTTATGAAAGCGGTACATAAGAAAATTTTGTTTTGCATACACTCTGTGTACAAAATGACAATAAAAGTTGTCTAAGTCTCTTCCTGTTCTTTATAGGTACTCCTTCCACAGTCCTATGACAAAACTGTTAACTGGTGACTCTAAATTTCCCTAAACTGGGTGTCTGGGAGACTGTGAGGGTGTGCCCTTCCTTCCATCCATAGACTGCTAGAAATAGGCTGCACCCCGTTCCATGACCCCCACTGACAAGCATCTATGGGTGGATGGTGGCCTGAATTTAGAATGTTTGAATGGACAAAAAAGGATACCGACAGGTCTTTCACCGTTGATTGCAAAGGGTACAACTCTCGTCTTCTCAGCAGGAATTTGGGTCAAGCTTTTATTTTTCAAGGTGAAAACAAATCTCAAATCAAAGAATAAAGTCTTAAGTACTGGCAGTAAACATCCAAGTCATATTTTGCGTCTTTGAAGTGTGACTGGTCCTTGGTATGCCTTTCCAGCTGTCTGTGTAGTCATCCTTCTCGAATCGGTGTTGGGGCGCGCCATTTTAAAAAACCGAGTAACAACTACAATGGACAACTACTACGAAAGGTTAATCTGTCTTCTTGCCAACTCCATTAACAGAACCTGTTCCTCTTCGATATCTAGCAACTCTAGATCCATCCGTGACCATGATATTTTGCAGACGCACCATTGTTGTTTTGAAAGATAAACACTACCGCCAGCACCGCCGAAGTTCTTGTGACCATCCGCTGAAGTTCTCGTGAGTTCTCAAATAGGCTCTCCCTTGCGCTTTGGCGGGAAACTGCTGTGCGTCCCTAGAAATTCCAGATCGATGGTGCCAAAGGAGTAACGACACAACAACAGCAACATTATCTTGGTGGGCCCCATATAAAGTACAACAAGTGACAAAGGTTCAGGATACGGCGACAGTTCCATAAATCGGCCAAGAAGATACAATTATGCAATTCTCAGTAGTATATGATCACACATCACACCCGGAAAAATAGTGACTGCGCACCTTGAATGGAACCATTGGTGACAGCGCACCACCACATCGTACAGACATCCCAAGTTTCAAAAACTCATTTCAGGGAGATGCTTATCAAACCCCCCACCCCCACCACCTCTTTGGTATCCATCGTCGCTAACAAATTGTACGTAACGGTTATGGTTTTAATCTACACTCTGGGTTACCCATAATTCCAAGTCGTAGTGTAAAAAATAAAATACTCAAATCCTATCAAATACTATAATATTTATTGCTGTTTTAAACATATTATATGAGTGCATTTTTTACCAACTGTTTAATGAATCTTAAACAGTTATTAACATAGTAACTAAAAGTACCACTGTTTGCTTTGCTATTGGTGTCGTGTTTGAACGGATCACCATCATGTTGAAATCTGGAAAGTGTTGCGCTATAACTATGGTATGGTGCGGTCAGTCTCTTCAGGATCAGGTGGGTTTAAGAGGAATTTTTCGCTCTACTACTTCTGCAAAGAGTCTTCCTAGTCCACAATTTGCATAGGGGTGCCCCTAAGAACTTGTGGGCCCTGCCGTTGAAGCAAGTTTTGGTCACACTGCGGATGTGCAAACAAGTGAGTTCTTCTTCTTCCAAATTGACGAGTCCAACCAGCGGCGTTGGGCTGTACTGTGTGAGAGCATGCAACGGGAGTTGTGAACTTTTAAACTCTGTGGTTACTTCCTACAGTTTGAGCTGAAGCTGAGTACAACGATTGAAAAAAAAATGTACAGTCTATATCCGGCTTAAGTCTGTTCTCTCTGAGCCAGATTGTACAATTATAAAATAAACACAGACTTATTCATGTATTTTACAACTGATAAAAAAGAATGGACAACATCTGACCATCATTCCAAAAGGTATTTCGCATTTTGGCAATTAAGGAATGTAGATGAGTAAAATTAGTAATATCTAAGCATTTAAGTAAGTTTGGGGAAAATGTAGCTCAAATAAATGTATTTCCATTATGAAAAATTCTATCTAATGCTAATTTATATAATGTCGTAGAACAATACAGGATTAAAAGCTCCTACAGACAATACATTGAAATTATTTTGTAGCTAAATTTTAAACAAAATCAAAAAAGAGCAACGGTTGCCAAAAATAAATCTTTTGATGACATCTCTAGCACTGATTTGTTAATGCAAAACAGGAAAAGCAGCTCATGGGAAAGTGCAGCAAAGTCATTTTACATTATTGGGATAAATTTGTAAGATTTTAAATATAAATAAGCATTGATTATTTAAAAGACAGATGTTGTAGATCTTCTAACGCTGTTTAACTTCTAATACTGTTTTCTTGTTGGTAAGAGAGGCAAACAGCTCCTGGGAGTGTTTAGCGAGTTAGCTTCCCACAAATTAGGTCAATTTGAAATGCTAAGATGATGAGCCAATGCTTGTTCTAACATAATATTTGTCTTTATTCATATACTGTGTCTAAACAAAACATTAATAAAATAGTCAATATAGTAAGATGGAAAAATCTGTTTCTCTACTGTAGATTTAGTGTGGATAATTAGCTCCATGTCTAAATTTACATTAATTATAGCTGCAAGGTTGAAATTAACAACATCTATTTAGTTTAACATTTGAAGGACAGCAAAAAGTACATTTTGTTTGTACAACTACACATAATTTAAAAATTAAAGCATTTAATTATTAAATTAGGCCTTTTAATCTATCTTGGAGACAAAAGCAACAATCTCTATGACTAAATATCTGAGCCTTTAGAAGTGAAACAGGACGGATATGTTAAAATGTTGTCTTCTATATTTTTTAAACACTGACTGAGATTATTTGTAAGGGTATGATTGCAAAGTCATGTAATCGTATAAGCAGCTAACTTAGCTTTTCACTGTAATATGTAGAAAAATATGGAGTGAATTTTGTTCCATTATTGTTGCAAGAAAAATGTAAAATTTTACTTTGATTGAAAGAAAATGTCATCCACAATGAAACTTTGAAAAATTACTTAATCGAAATAAGGTTAGACAGTAACTTTGTGTTTTTTTTTATTATTTTTTCACAATATTTGATTTATTCTTTGTTTTGTAACATCTTATTTTTAAAGTTTTATTTGTCCAGATTTAATATTTATTTTATATTTTCAAATAAAATGCTTCTAATTTCTGTTCTTTAGATGGAGTTTTACGAAATGCATTATTTTCAAATTGTGCTTTACAGATCACATAATCTTTCCCCAAATAATTGCTCTTAAAAAATGAACACATTTTATTTTGCTAACATCCATGCAGACCAATAGAAATGCATCTTCACTCCTTACTCCAGAGGAAATCCCGCCCCTAGAAGTAAAGAGAATGTGATCTGTAAAAGGCAATTTGAAAAGGATTAAATTAGTAAAACCTGAAAACCAGAAATTTGAAAAAAATATCTACAGTAAATATACTTTCTGTGAATAAGAATATTTTAATGAAAAATATGTAAAAAAAATCTGACAAAACAGTAAAGTTACTCTTAAAACTATTTAAAAAACTTTTCTAAAGTCCACTTTCTCGATTGGATTTTTTTTAAATTTCCATTTACAAAATATGTTCTTTAGTTACAACAATAATGGAACAAAAGTCACTATATAGAAACTAATCCTGCCAAGAAAAATGTTAAAAATTTGCATGATGCAAACTGAGTCATATATTTTAAAGATGTCTCTTAATTTAGAGGCAAGAATTTGGCTGCCTGTTTTTACAATTAAATGAATTACATAAAAGTGAGCTGTGGTGGAAGTAAAATCCCCTCCCTGGCCCTGGGGACAGGTCTGAGGGTCCTTACCAGCCCCTCCTCCCCGGGCCGCAGAGAGGTAACTGCCAGGTCATTGCCGCTTTCATCGAAGGCGTTGATATCGATTCCCCAGTTGGTGTGGGGCTGTTTAAACCAGTTCTGCAACACATGCTTGAAGTCAATGCTTTGCCAATGGCCGGCCCTGGAGTTGAGCTCGATCTTCAGGGAACGGATGCGGATGTGGCGGCTCCCCTGTTCCGTGACTGGCTTCAACCGCAGGATCTGCAGGTAGACGGTGGAGGTCTGCTGCAGTGGTCGTAGATACACCCATAGCTGGGCCTTCAGTACCTTAGTGAACATCAGTTTAGGGCTGAACTTGAAGAAGCAGCAGCTGGGCTTCCCATTCACCTGCACAAGGGGCTCCGCTGTGGAACAAAACAGAGATCTGTTTTTAATTTCCAAATCTGGTACACAAAGAGAATATGACAACAAACTATTCAAAAATTCAATAAATATCACATTTAGTTGGCTTGTATGATAGTTTATAAATATTTTGATTATCTTGCGGTGATAAGTAAGTGGAGCAATAGAGAAAAGGTTGCTGATACATTGGACATAAACACTAAATAGAGTTATTGCTTTATTGTTGCAAAGCAATAAGGTGTTTTGTAAACAGGAATTTTGTAAAATGGAGCCTAGGCGGAAGTTCAACTGAATAAACTGATTACTCGCCTTCATCCGCCTACGACACAGCCAGTCAGCTTTAAACCACACCTCCACAAAAGCCAATAAGCATCCAAGTTCATCTTAAAAGGCCTCCGATCCGCAACTCGTCTGCTAACTAGTGCGCAGGCGGTGGATGCGCTGTATGACTTCATTCAGATGACCCCGTTTTAACCAACCTCCATCCCCTCCTCCACCATCGTAGCTAAAGCTTCATCAGAGTGTCATTCCTCCCAGACTGTTACTGCATTTCACGTCTCATTTCAACCGGTCCGGCAGAAGACCGCCATGTTGAGCCTGGTTCTGCCAGAAGTTTCTTCCCAATGGAGAGTTTTTCCTCTCCAATGTCGCTTCATGCTTGCTTATCATGGACAGGTTCTCTTAACCTGTGTTATCCAACGGGACTTCCATCTTCCAGGTCCCTGTGTGAAGCTCTAGTATCAGCTCACGCAGTCCACTGGATCTCCCCATAAAGCAGCAGACCGTCTCTCTAACCAGCAGTCTACAGACTGACCAACTTCATCTATCTCCACTCCAACACCAGTTTCAGGCCTGGGGGGAAACAGCCCTGTTCTTTACTCCTGTTCATGCATATCTATCAAAGTTCAGTGCTATGTTTCCTGTTGAGGTCTGAGCGCCAAAGACTAAGTAATTGTATCAATAAATTTCATCTAATTGCGTTTTCTCTCTGTGCAAGTTTTTCAGATTGAATTTAAATAAAAAAAAAATAAAAATAAAAAACAGTCTTTGGATGATTTGTTTTTTGTTTTCATATTTCATATTGAAATTATTTTTCACATATCATCTTCTCATTTTTTAACTTGTGTTATAATTTTTTTCCCCCAATTTTTCAGGTTGAGTTTTACACATTGCATTCTTTTTTTTTTTATTTGTGATTTGTGTTTTACAAATCACATTCTCCTCTCTCCTGGGGGCAGGATTTCTTCTGGAGAGAGGAGCGAAGAAGTATTTCTGTTAGTCTGCTGGACATCAGCAACAATCAACAACATTTTTATCAGTTAATATGCATTTACATGGTAAAAATCTGTATTGGGCTTGAAAAGAATATAAACAAAAACTCTAAAAAACAGAAATTTGAAAACATTTCAAAATATGAAATCTTTAAATGTTTTTCTTGAAAAATAGAAGAAAGTGTAGACTGTTTTGGAATGGAAAATGACCAAGACTGCTTGCAGAAGTTGTTTTTTTTAATTTATTTTATCTATCAAGCCCAAAGGCCAAACACAGGAAACAGGCTGGGCAAAGATTCAGCCAACAAGTGGATCATGGCTCTGGAGGAGCTGCTGGCAAATAACAGGAAGAACCTGTTTACAGGATTACGATGTGAGGCCTGTCTTAAACATTTATACTTCGATGTATCATGGTAAGCTTTTCAGAAAACTAACATCATCGCTCATTTTAAACAGTCCATCCTTCCCGTAAAGAGTCATGGTGCCGGCTTCCTGTTTATCAAACTTCATGTGAGCATGGATAGAATCAGAGATGGCAAAAGTACTCACTTTCCGTACTTGAGTAAAAGTACAGATACTTGTGTTAAAAAATACTCTGGTAAAAGTGGAAGTACTGA